CCTTTTTTTTCTAAGATTGAAATTCCATTTTACCTGTAACTTATCCTTTGATAGTGTATTTATTAGCAAATTCTTAATTTGTGTTTTATTTTATTTTTTAATAATTTTTTATTGTTATGTTAATCACCGTACATTACATCATTAGTTTTTGATGTGTTCCATGATTCATTGTTTGTGCATAACACCCAGTGCTCCACGCAGAATGTGCCCTCCTTAATACCCATCACCAGGCTAACCCATCCCCCCACCCTTGTGTTTTATTTTAAAAGAAATATATAAAACTGTGTAATGTTAAGACCATTGGGAATAAAGGAAGAAGAGAATGGAAATAAGTACTTTATTCCTTTCTAATTATAATATTCTAGTGTTTTCTAGGTTGTCTGGAAGTCCCCTCAGTAACAAGATTGGCTTTTCCCCATATGATGTACTCAGTGTTTCTAAGGGACCCCTCGTGATCCTAACCACACCTGCTATTCTTTCTTTTTTCTCTTTGTTTTCTCAGTTTATGAACCCTATCTTCAATTTTCAGTGGACAGAATTTACTTCTATAGGTGAATAAGAGAGAATAGAGAAGAGAAGAGAAAATTTAGCCAAATAGTAGTAGAAACCAAAATTCAGCTTGAAAATAAGCTTAGCATATATAATGTAGCTATGAAATTTTAGGTATAACATGCTAATATGTGGCTAAGATATATTTTCTTATACTTTAATACAGCATTCTTCTCACCTCTAGAGAAGGCCAATTTTAAGATTTATTGGTAAGGAGGGCATTCATTGGTACAATCACTTGCCATTTTGCCCTCATTTTTGAAGGGTTATTGTAAGCATTGCCATGGGTGGATGTGGGGACCATTTCTGAAGCTCTAACCCTCCTGCATACCCATATGCCATTGGCCGCTGGAGAGTCTTACAAAATCAGCTCTGGCCCATGTTCTCAAGCACACTTGTAAACACGTCTCTCTGGATTAGTACTTTAATGTATGTAAACTGTTTTCTGGCAAGCTACTTAATCAAAACTTTTAAAATGGGTGACTTTGATCATTAAAATATTAACTTGGTTTTATTTTTATTTTTTTCCAGGTGTATGGTAGCTGATGAAGTAAGTGTTTCGTGATTTTTACATCTTTTATAAAATTCCACAACCAATTTTTAGTGTCTACTATTTACCATGTATTCTTTGTCTTTCCAAATGACTCTCTGTCTATATATAGAGAGAGGAGGAGAGGGGACAGATAAAGAGAATGAGACTGAGAATGAATGTGTTGTGTATGTGTTTTTGCTTGCGCATATACACACACATGCATGCAAGGTGTGTACTTGAAACATATTATTATTAACATTCGTGATCCAAAATTTTATGTTCTTGGCAGAGAAAGCATGAATGTGCTTAAATTCAGCCTCAAATGAAACTGACTCTTTTCTTTTGGTCATAATACTGCTTACTTAAAAGTTGAATTTTTAAGAATTTACTCTAGAAGTTATTGTTGTTTCCTATGAGTGTGAAACATAATATTAAAGTGTTATTTTATTATCACTAAACAATTTGATACATTTAAGTACTGTGTACTCATATATAATATTCATGTTTTCTCACTAAAATGGAAGTTCTTGTTATATAAATTATGATACTCTTGACATACATTCTCAGTAATGTGAATCAATAAAGTTCTAATTTTTATTCAGTTTGAGAAATGTGTTGCTGTTTTTATGATGCCTTTAAAAGTAACAGCAAAACGTTTAAAAAAAATGAAGAAAACATACTGAATTTAAAAAAAAATAAAAGTGAAAGGGCGCCTGGGTGGCTCAGATGGTTAAGCGTCTGCCTTCGGCTCAGGTCGTGATCCCGGAGTCCTGGGATCGAGTCCCGCATCGGGCTCCCTGCTCCTTGGGAGCCTGCTTCTCCCTCTGCCTCTCTTTCTCTCTCTCTCTCCCCCTCTCTCTGTCTCTCATGAATAAATAAATAAAATTAAAAAAAAATAAAAAAATAAAAATAAAAAAAAATAAAAGTGGAACCAAAGAGATTCTCCCAATTGACTGTCTTACCTTTAAGTTACATATAGACTCACCAATGGCTGATCTCTACAGTTTCTTCTTTAGGAAAAAAAAATGAATTAGAGTGTAACATGAACATGAATGCTGTGCAGAAAGTTTGATACAAGGTTTCTTGGTTTATGCTGATTTATAATTACTGAAGTTTTTAGTTTGAACTCTTTATTCTATAGGCATTTGTTTAGATTAGATGTTAGGAGTTAGAAACATAGTCATTGCCTATGAAGAATTTCAACAATGTAATTGAAGGGACAGGACATAGATATTTGCAGCAATTTCTATTCTGGAACAGGATGAATTCCAAAAGCCTCTTCATAAATTAATAAGTTTGTGAGCCCAAAATGACTGAAAGAGGCTCACGTTTTTAGTCCCTGAGTGTTTTCACCAAACAGAAATGTAAACTCATCCTTCAAAACCTCAAAACTAGGCATAACCATTGTATATAATATGT